GGTGAGATTGCGGTGGATGTTGCATGAGTCTACATTCACTATAGACTAAAGTACACGCAAGTCACCGTGTCTGCTTCACCTGGCCGTGGAGCACATGGTGGACATCGTTTGCGACGACGGTCGTACTATCGCATATATATAATGGTAGGGGGCGCTCACCGATCTTTCTTACGGAAATCGCTCGTTCCGTTGTGCCTTACGGGCTCTCTCTCGAGCTCAACCAGCAGCCGCACAGCGGCGCATGCTATGGGCAGTATGTTATTACCGTCAAAGACAAGGGCGACTGGAATGACCATTTCTGGCCTATTGGCCGTCGTCAGCCAGTCGTGCCCAACCCCGAAGTGTTGAACACCTGGGGCTCGAACTCGCAACCTGTTAGTTAGAAGTCCAATGCCTCTAACCACTGGGCCACGGGCCCGTTGTCCTGTCGATTGCGATCGGGAATATACAATGGTTGAGGGGCGTTGGACTTCTAACTAACAGGTCGCGGGATCGAGTCCCAGGTGTTGCACACTTCGAGGTCGGGTATGACTGGCTGACGACGGCTAATAGGCCAGAAATGGTCATTCCAGTCCCCTTTGTCCTTGTCGGTAATACTATTCTGCGTTTCGGACAGCTCGCAGCTAGAAGATATTCTCCACACGAGAGGTAGCAACATACGAACAACTACGTTTTCTGCACCGATGTCTCCAAGACTAACTAACTCCACGATGCCTGAGAAAGAAATCTTTCGTTAATACGGCTATGGGAAGAGACGTCGTGAGGCGGTTTGTCAAAAGATGATAAGAGTTCTAATCAACGCCTGCCACCGGCAGCTGCAGAAATGCAAGGTTAAGATCGAGGACAATAGAAGGCAATGTGTCCACACTCTCGGTGATTCTATCGCCGCGGATCTTGGGAAGACGATCTCCGCTCTGGCACACTACAGGCAAGCCAAGAAAGGAGAAGTTTTAAAGCGGAAATTGACTAATCTAAAACCAACAGGCGCAGAAAGTTCAAAATTGGTCCACAGCCTCTCGTCTAAGCAACTAACAGAGCAGCAACTACGAGCGCTACAGCAAGAAACTTGTTTCAATACTGCAGTTGCCGATCCTGTCGACTTCATTGCAGCCTGGAACCTATGCTTGTGAGAAGTTAAACATCCGACTACATGAAACACTCCGTCCGACAGCGTGTCACCTCCTTGCTGATGACACACAGACCAACCAAGTGTATTTCACAGAGTGAGTCAAAGTCTACGAGGGAACTGAGGAGGGACGACAGAATCATCATTCTACCTGCTGACAAGGGGCGGTCAACAGTCGTGATGAACCGAGAAGACTATAATGAAAAAGCCAAAGGCCTTCTTGATGTCAGAGAATTCTACAGACCAGCACAGAACTCACAAGTCAAAGCAGTGGCAGATCGGCTGAATGAACTGCTTAGAGAATACCGACATAAAAATGTGTTCAGGGAGAATGAATGACACCAAATGAGGGCAACTGATACCCCTCTAGCCCGATTCTATGGTCTGCCAAAAATCCATAAAGCAAATGTCCCACTTGGGCCAATCGTTGCCCTAAAAGGCGGCCCCACCTACAATTAGGCGAAGTTGATGTATTCAAAACTGAATTTCCTCCAAGGCAATTCGACTACCTCAGCTCGATCAGCCTCTCATTGACCATTCCAAACTCAGCCCAGCAGCCAGCCGAAGGGTCGTCTGGCTTTGGAGATCTGGTGGACAATTTCGTCGTCAATTTTAACATTTCTTGGCATTGTGCTCCCAAGATACATGAATCTGTCCATTGTTGACAGTTGAGTTACATCGGCTTTGATAATGGGTTCTCCGAGATCTGCGTCTGACGCCGGTTGGTGCATGACTACCGTCCTCTTTGTGTTAGTAGTCGGTCTGAAGTTGGTGCGGTCGGCAGCGAAAAGGTCCATGCACACTTGCATGTCCGATTTCGTCGTTGTGTCGAGCGCACAGCCAAAAACTCGCGTATCTGCATGCGGCGGACGTTGAGCAGTTGTCCGGTAGTCGATGATAATTTCTGGCACCTCATCACGGTAAACGCCCATCATTAGACCAGAGAACACGAGGTTAGAGAAGATGGGCGCCAGTACACAGCCCTGCTCTATCCCATTTGTCACTGCAAGCGTCTCTGAGGCCGACCCATTGCCCGCGACACGATTCGACATTCAGTCGTGAAGTTGTTGTACCATGTGAGTAAAGTGCTCCGGACATCCAAATTTCAGAATTATTTTTCAGAGACCGTCGTGATTGACTGTGTCCAAGGCCGTCGTCAAGTCAGCAAAGGTGACATAGGGGTTGATCCTCATCTTTTAGCCTTTCTCCTCTAGTTTACTGGCTGCGAAGATCATGTGGCTGGCTCTGCGGCTCTCGTAAAATCCGTACTGACTTTCTGGGAGAAGTACCTACTCCAGTTGCGTGTTCAGACGGTTGAAGAGGACGCGAACGAAGACTGTTCCTGGGATGTTCGGTAGCGAGATTCCTCTGTTATTGTCCCATATTTGGTCGATTTCCTTTGCGCTTGTATGTATGGAAGATAAGAGCGTCTTTCAAGTCTTGATAAACTTGGTCATCTCGCCATATTTCATGGGAGGATGAGGTCAGCTTGTCCATTGGCCAAGGCCTCTAAACTTGTGGACTTCGGCTGGAATTTGTTTCTGTTCCTGAAACTTTCCCACTAGAGGGCTGTTGTGCTGTTCTGGTTTTTTTTCCAGGAGGGAAGGCGAACAGTTCAAGTCTGTATATATTTCCACGTGGGGGACCAGCTGATGAAGGCGTCGCAGATAGTAAAAGACCTATTGAAGACGCTTCTGAAATGCTTGGTCAGGCGCTTCAGGATCTGCGACTTCTCCGTGGGAAGTGTTGTACCGTCAGGACTGAACGGTGGTGCGATTCCTCTGAAATAGTGGCCGTAGATCGTTCGGGCTGATGCAAAGAATTTCCTCATTTCGTTGTGGTCTTCCCATCCTTGTATCTCTTTAGCCTTACCTTTCGCGCGGACTTTTTCATCTACCGCAGCTGTTATTACATCAGGCATCTACATTTGAGGAAGGTTGCTTTGTTTGCGTCCCTTTTGCGGTCAATGTAGGCTGTGTGCGGCCCGTCCTTTTCAGAAAGCAGATTGCAGATCACCCTGTCATTGTTGTCGAACCAGTCTGATGTTGGTAGCATGTACGACCAGGGAAGTGTTTAGTGTGATTTTAGATATGTTGGTTTACCAACAACTTACATTGAGTATAGATTCCAAGACAGTTCCCGAGGATTCGTGGTATTCTTTACGTTTTAGGATTGTTGAGATGTGGTTTAATAAGGCAAACGGGATTTTGCTCGATTTTGCCAATAGGAACGTCATAGGAACACATGTTGCCAGCCGGTTCAGTGACTAATAAATGGGAATGGAATTGGCAGGGGTAATCGTAAATATACCATGTTGTGTATATAAAGAGAACTCTTCTTCTGTGAAATTAATTTGCACTTTTTGTTTGTTCTGGATTAAGTTGAGTTTCAGATCGAACCTGAACTATCGCAGAATACTTAATAACTTTCAGTGTTCTTATTCGATTCCCCATAAAGGCAGACCCTGTATTATGTGTTTGTAAAAGCCTTTAATAGATGATATCTCTTTAAGGCATCTACCGAAGTAGTAAGCATTTAGGCGTTTTTTCCATGCAGTGCGGAGTGGTCATACAAATACTGATATTTTGCTAAAAATACAAATGATTTGCTCGTCCCATGTCTAAATTACGTATGTGCAGAAGCTAGACCGCGAGAAAATTATTGTTTCATACGTTCAAAACTGAAAATGTCTATTCAGTGGTAGTCATTCCTGTGACGACAGATATAACTTTCCGAACGACAAAACAATTCCAGCCAATTTAATCTAAGGTTGTCTGTGCGTGTTATTACTGCACTATAGGGCACCATATCGCACAGATTTGCTAATCTGGCCTTCAAGAATCGATAAAACGTAGAGTTCTCTAAAAATAACTCGTGTTAGCAAATTGATTCCCACGGCTAGCATCGGACAAAAAAATCTATTTGCAAGTGCGGAAAGCTCTCGAAAATTAATCACCCCACTCTCAAATAAAAACACCCTCGAATGCGCAACCGAAGTCTAAGACAGGTAGTAGCATAGTAAATTGTCCCAATTTATCACAACTTCCACTGTCGCTCAAAGTTATAAACATTTTGCTTGATAAAACTACATTGAAACATTTTCTACACGAGAAAAGGATATCCCTTGAAGTGGTTGGACGAGCGAACAAAATGCGCAAAGGTTAACGCATCCAAAAATTCTCATATTAGTTTCTGTCATCAGGTGTTGCACACCTCGGGATGGGGTATGGCTGGCGACGACTTATAAGCCAGAAATGGCCACTCCACTCTCCCTTGTCTTTGTCACCAATGCTATTCGGCCTATACCGTGCGCCGCTGTGCTGCTGCTGGTTGGGCCCGAGAGAGATAGTGAGAGCCCTAAGGCACAATCGGACGAGTGCGTTACGTAAAAACTATCGGTGAGCGCATGGACGACCAGGAGAAGGGAGACTAGAATGGCCATTTCAAGTTTTCTAGCCGTCGTCAGCCTCTCTACCATTATATCTACACACATATATGGGTTATTAGAGCTATCGTAGGTGTGACACACTAACGCCAGAAATAAAGACGACAGACGTAATGGAAACGGACGCGGTAACTTCCTTAACGCCAGTTCTCCCATGGGTATCAGTAATGAAAGGGTTCTCCGAGTTGTAAGTCGACTCTAAAGCTACTCTCAAAGTATATAAAGACAGCCCAAAAGACAACGGGCATGCCTTTTTATGAAGGAACTTCGTCGATGTCGACAAGGGTGTATTGGGAAACGCATGCAGTACTTTATTCACAATAGTGGCGCAAGGGACTTAAGTTACTACCTATTTTATAAAGGGTTCAGAGGGTGACAACAGTAACTGTAAATGATCTGAAGTCATAAGCCTATGAATCTGGGCCTACTGCAATGAAAGTGGGAACGGTGTTAATCAGAACAGTGTTGCCAGGCTGTATTATGCTCAACAACTACTCATTGCGCAAAATGGCCGTTGACAAGCCTAGCAGCCTCAAGGAATACCATATTCCCTTATACTCACTCACTATCATTGGCAATTTTTCCTGATCAGGTCAGCATTTTGCTGAAATGCGCTGGTACAGCCACGTTTAAGGTCCTTTTTATACGACTCCGTGTATTTTGTAAAAGAGATTTGAACAGGAGTGTAAACAGACCTGATACAAGAAGTGCATACTGTATACTAATCCAAGTGGGTTGTGCAAGATGGAGAAAATCGTAAATGCCATTAGGCAGAAGTTCGCGCCCATACTACGTATACTGGACATACAGCGTGTCCGGTGAGAGAAAGGATGACTTGCAATGAGTAGCTGCAAGAAACGTTCATAAGGTGACTCTTTAAGGGTGGATGCTAGAGCAACAGACCCCATGTTCAATACCTTTTCAGAAAAAGGCTTAACCAGCATCCGAATAGGGATACGTGCGCTGTTATACAACTGTTTCGTCTGACACAACCCTTTTCCAGATTTATGATGAACACTCCACTGACCACTGCTCTAGTTTGGATTCCATGTCTGTTCAAACTCCGGACCGTCTGACTAGCCAATTCAAATTCACGACACTCTCGTTCCGCAGTACGTCCCCCAGAGACGTTCTGTACATATCTGTGTGAGCTGAGACGACACGTAATTTAATCTCGTATATATCTCCAACTCTGGGTGGACGTCCTCAAGATAAGTTTGTCGCAATACATAGATGCTTGTTCTGTATACACGAGTAAGCTGGCGAAACGAGCAAAGCCTTTATTTAATCGTGTGCTTTTATAAGACTTGCAAAGTCCCGGATACGATCCAGTCATCCGCAGACCCTAGTATGCTGCCTGCCTGTGAGTTTCTACACGGAAGCTCTACCCAAACTACGGATCGGATTAACATAGAGGGCGGGAAAGTAAAGCAGGGGAACAGTACCCGATAAAGAAAAGATGCTGGCGGCCGTGGGATTCGAACCCACGCCCTTTCGGACCGGTGCCCTAAACCGGCGCCGTAGACCGCTGGGCCACGCTACCTCGACACCGACATTTCTAATGTGCGCTAATGGCGAATTAGCAGTAAAATCTAGGCAGGACAAATTTCACAGGCGCAACCCCGACGGACACCACTGTGAAAATACATACAGATTTTAGGAGCTTAGAAATGCATAAAAGGGGCATCTGAAGTAGTCTCAGGGGGTTTATTAGGGTCTCTGTGTGATACAGTGTCCCCCAACTGGGCCACATGATAGATGCACTGGACCAGCACGAGGGCCACATTGGATTCTGGCAGGCGTCTTTGGAATGCGTACCATGACAAATGCCAGGATTCGGGCTGCGGTGGCATGTCCAGTCGCCGGCCCACGTATCGCCAGCTGGGATCACTGCCGCCTCCCCCTCCCCCTTGTTGTTTTTGTTGGTTAAAATCCTTGTCAAGGGTTTCTTGTGGACCAGGGGGTGTGGTGGTACGCCTAGGTGCGGATGCGGCCGTACCAACCACATACGGCCTCTCCCGCCTCCAGTCTTCTTGACTCTGTCTTGACACCGGGCCCAGCTGGCGGAGGAGGAGAGAGTGTGGTAGATGCTTCGTAAGTCCATTCTCACTGTACAATAATTCACGCGAAAGTCACTGTGCCTGTTCCACTTTGCTGTGGAGCACATGTTTGATGTCGTCGGGCACGACGGTCGAAATATCAGTTGATACAGTTTCAGCATTGCAAATAGGGCAGTTAGCGTGACTAGCCGACCGTATAAATCCCATAGCAGGAGGGTCAGCGTCCTTCAGCTAAACCGACCAACGCATTTTCCTCCCGGCGTGGTGAAGCTGTCGACTTTACTTGACCATTCTACGTATTCATAATGCCTCTCGGCTCCATTACCGACACATCTGGGTGTCCTTCTGATTGTTTTATAGGGGATGCCGAAGTACCTGATACAAATGTCTTGATTGTCACGCCTGATCTGCAACTTGATAATGCGATCATTTCTTTCCACCAAAAAGGGAACAATATGTATGACTGACGCCCATAATCAACAGAGGGTGGCATATGCTCTTAGCAGTAGAAGGCCTTCAAAAATGGTTAAGGGCAATGCATTCGTTT